ATATTTTTTAAAATGTGTGTATACCACCCTGAGCTTGAAAGGGTCCCAATTCTTAAAGATGTTTCTAATGAGATTAGTCGTATTAGCAAATGTGGGAGTTTTTCACATTGTATAATGAAATGAGTCAACTTTTGGAAGAGCTGATGTTAAAAAGTGATGCATAGGTAAAAGATCCATTCAAGAATGGCTTTGAGTGTAATAGAATAAGAAAGGCACACTGATGTTGTTTCAGACTCCACATTTCAATTATCCTTTGAGACGCTATCACTTGTACATTTTGTTATAGAAAAAGAATAGCCTGGGTGGGGTTGCACCCAGTCTCAGTGACCAGGAAGCTGAGACCAGGCAGTGGCAGGCTGCTCAGAGCCACCCTGAGGCCCAGAAAAAAAAAGGCCACCTGGGCCTCTGCCCAGGTCAGATGCCCCTGGTGCTTGTGGTGCCCACTACACCCAGATGCACCCCTGGGGCCCAAACCATGGTGCAAGCTGGTATGTAGATACGTCCCAGGATGACCCAAGGTGGCCCTGTGGCCAGGAGCTGGCTCCTGGCTTGTGCCTGAAGCAGCTGAGCAGGCTCAGAATCTTTTCCTGGAGGCTGACAAATCCAGAATTAGAAAAGTTCCCCCAAAGAGAAGCAATTCCTGGGTGGACATAATAACCATATGCAAAGATAAACTGCCAAATTATGAAGAAAAGATTAAGATGTTTTGCGAGGAGCATTTGGTCTTGGCTGTAACACTTGCTTCATCTTGGATGGCAGTCGTACTTTGATGTAAGAGATAAAGAGGAGAAGTGGGACCCGATTTCCATGGAGAAAGGTGACATGGTAACTCTTCCTGCTGGAATGTGTCACTGCTTCACAGTGACAGCCATGTGGCTGTTTGTGGGACCACCAGTGTGGACCGCGTACAGCCAGCCAGCTATTTCCGCACTCAGGGACAGTACATGAGATTTTTGGCACAGGCAGCATCGCTTATGCTCCCCGGGAGCTAACACACTCCTTGTAAAGATCTTAAACATGATAACTGAGCATAAAATCACCCGTTATCTCTTTGCCTTTGTTTTGTAGACTTGAAGCCAAATTATTTGACCAGAATATTTTTTAATGAAAGGAGCTATAAAGCTGATTTTTACATGGAAGCAGCTGTGCAAATGTGGACAAATCATTTTCTCCAACTCCATCAAGATCAGTGGTTCAGACACGCATTCAACTTTAACCCAAATGGAAGTTTTATCCCCTGAAATGTAAGTACTTAGATGTTCCATTGACATGATTCTAACTTTAAGCCAGGTATCAGTCAATTCCTTGCCTGCCTTATGAGAAGATTGAGGTATAGAAATATATTTGGTCTTTGTCCCCAGTTCCTGGTACAGAGCTCCTAAAAACCCTTGGAATTCCCTGAGTGAGAGGAGTGCCCATTGTTATTCACAAGCAATCCTGTTTGAGCATCATTTCCACTGGGACAGAAGTTCCTGTTCCCACGACCCTTCTGGACCTCACTCTATCTATATATGTATCTCTTGTGGAGCTCAAGAAGGAATGCATCTGCCAAGAAGGACTCCATCATTAGATTTGAGTTAAATAGGTTTTTGTTTGTTTGTTTGTTTTTGTTTTTAAAGATTTATTGGGGAATTGGGGAGGGGAACAGTGTTGGGGAATTGGGGAAGGGGAACATTGTGTTTTCCCAGGACCCATAAGCTCCAAGTCAAGTTGATATCCTTCAATCTTAGCTGTAGAGGGTACAAGCTCAGCTCCAAGTCCATTTGCCACTTTCAGTCTAGTTGCTGTGTGGGATTGGGGGGGCGGGACACAGCCCACCATCCCATGCGGGAGTCGAACCGTCAACCTTGTTGTTAAGTGCATGCAATCTAACCAACTGAGCCATCTGACCGGCCAGCCACAGCTCACGGCTGCTCACCTTGGGCACAGCTCACTGGCCCATGTGGGAATCGATCCAGCAATCCTGTTGCTCAGAGCTTGCACTCTAACCAACTGAGCCACCCTGCCGGCCCTTGAGTTAAATGTTTTTAACGGGAATACTTCATAGATCATGTCATTCCCATTGAATCGCGTTAGGAAGCCCCTGATGTCAGTGTGTCCTATTTTAGTTATGCCTAACTAGGTTTGGAAACTCTCTTCTAGAGTGATTTTATATTTCATTGCACTAGGTCTATATACTATGTCCTCTTTGGCACTATTGACTCTTCCTTTGTGGTCCAATATGTGGTCAAATGTGTAAGTTGCACGTGTGCTTGAAAACCAAAAATGTAGCTCCCTAATTGTCAGCTGCAGAGTTGGGCATCTACCCTTCAGATCATGCCTGCCAATTGGGCCCTTCAAACCTACACTCTTGAATTTTTTGTAAGCTTGATCTGTTAGTTTCTGATGTAATAAGATCTCCCGATGTGCTTGTGGATGTGTTTCTCTTTGTCCTTCCACCCCTTTTGAAGCTATGTTGCCAAGTGTTGGGTTCATGTCTATTATGTTTTTCTTGTGAATTGTTCCCATAATACATATTGCTTTTTGCTTTAAGATTTATTGTGTGTTATATTGTGACCCCAGCTTTATTTTGGTTGGTATTTGCCTGATACATATTTTCTCATGCCTTTCACTTTCATTTTTTCTGCCACCATGGTTTACGTGTATCCACCTGTAGCTGAATTTTGGCTTTGTGACATATTATACTTTGGAAGGCAGCTCTGCTCACTGCTATCCCACCAACGCTGCACAGTTTATTACATATTTTGAAAGTATCTGCCTTTTAAGACACATTTAAACGGTCACATTTATAGGGATTACTGAACATTATTTGTTTATTTCGAGGCTTCATTTTGCATTTTTCTATTTGCCATGTTTTTCTTTTACTTTTTACCAGTTTTATTGAGATATCATTGGCATACAATATAAATTTAAAGGGCACAGCATAATCATTTCACTCTTGCTTCTTTTCACATCCTTTTTAGTTTTCTACTGGATCAATCAAGATTTCTTTAATCCCCACCCCCTCCCTTTACTGGTTTAGAAATTATACACTCTATTGCTACTTTTTAGAAATTAAATGCTTAGCTTAATGCTACAAAGTTTAAAACTCATTCTTTTCTTTATCATTCTCAAAAATATGAGAAACTTAGATGATTTCTCCCCAATGTCTCCTCTCCTACCTTCCATGTTGTTATCCCATAGTGTCTGCTCCAAGTCTACTGGTCTTGCATCACCATAGTATTTTAGTTCCTCTGGGTTTTCTGAGCCCCCTCATTTGTTTTTCAAATAGATTTTTCAAGATGTTTGCTAATTTCTTAGCTCAGCAGAGTATCTTCCTTGCGTTCCACTCCTATCTCCTCTCTCTTTTTTTTTTTTTTTTAAGCTGAGCCATCCTGCTACCTGTTGGCGGCTGCTCAGCTTGGGCCGGGAATTGAACCGCTGTTGCTCAGAGCTCAAACCCTTGAGCGAGCTCTTAGCCAACTGAGCCACTCGGTTGGCCCCACTCCTATCTCCTAATAACTGAGGGTATCACTGAACAGGTCTTTCAACAAACATCTGTGAGTACTAACTTTCTCTGTCTCAAATTAATTTTACCTTCATTCTTTTATTTTTTACTTTTCACTGAAGTATAATATATACATACACATATACAAAAAAAGTACACAAATTATTAGTGTACAACTTATGAATGTTCACCCAATCACTACCCAGATAGGAAATGTAACATCACCAGCATCCCCCCAAAAACCTCCTCAAACCAACTCCTAGGCACGATCTGTCCCAACTTCCCCAAAAGGAACTGCTATCCTAACTTCTACTGAAATGGACTGGTTTTGCCTGTTTTTGTTTTTAAATAAATAGAGTCACATCCTATGGACTCTGTAGTGTCTCACTTCTCAAAATGACATTTGTGAAATCAATCTATGTTTTTACACATAGCTATGATTTTGTTAACTCTGTTGCTATCTAAAATTCCATTTTATGAATCTGCTGCTATTTATGTGTCTGTTTTACTATTGATGGACGTTTGGGTTGGTTCCAGTGTGAGGCTTTTGTTAGTGATATTTCTGTGAATGTTCTGGTGCTTGTCTTTTGCTGCACCCACGTGTGAAATTCTGTTGGATGATCCCTAGGAGGGAATTACAGGCCGTAGGGTACACACGGAAGCATTCAGCATTAACAAACATTGCCAAACAATTTCCCAAGTGGCTGTCTAATTTATATTCTACCAGCGATATCCTAGCGTTTCAGTGTCTCTGCACTTTTGCTAGCACTTGGCACTGTCCCTCTTTTCGATTTCAGTCCTTCTTGTGGGTAGATAGTGGTATCTCATGATGGCTTTAAATTGCATTTCCCTGGAGACTAATGAAATTGAGTTCCTCTTCACCCTGGTGCACTGTTGGCGGGACTGCAGATTGGTGCAGCCACTATGGACATCAGTATGGAGGTATCTCAAAAAACTGGAAATGGAACTATCTTATGACCCAGCAATTCCACTCTTAGGTATTTATCCAGAAAAACCCAAGACACTAATTTGAAAAAATATATGCACCCCTATGTTCATTGCAGCACTATTCACAATAGCCAAGACTTGGAAACAATCGAAATGTCCATTGATAGATGACAGGATTAAGAAACTATGGTACATTTACACAATGGAGTATAACTCAGCTATAAAGGAGAAGGATATCATACCATTTGCAATGATATGGATGGACCTAGAGAACATTATGCTAAGTGAGCTAAGTCAGTCAGAGAAAGACAAATACCATATGATCTTACTTATATGTGGAATCTAAAGAACTTAATAAATGAGTAATGTAAACAGAAATAGTCTCAGAGACACAGAGGAAAAACTGATGGTTGCTAGTTGGGAGGGGGTGGGGATGAAGGAGAAAGGGAAGGGACAAGACAATATAAATTGGTAACTACAATATGGCCTCAGGGATAGAAATATAATCAATAATGTTGTGAATATAATCAATAATGTTGTAAATATTTTTTAGGGGGCCAGATGGACTCATGTCTTGTTAGGCAGACCACTTCATAGATAGTGTGGAGGCCTGACCACCGCACTGTACATCTGAAGCTGCCATTGAATAATATTATATGTCAACTATAATTTAATACATGTATAGTCATGGGATATGGAGTATAGTGTGGGAATGGAG